CAGTCACGAGCATGGTCTGGTTAATTCTACTTTTTCTGTCTTTGCGGTTTTTTTGGGGCATTGCTCTGCAACAGATTTCATGCTAACCTTTTAGCACACGGTCTGAGAGGAAGCTCGACTTTTGGACCCCCACCGAGCTCCAACTTAGGCTTTAGGACTTCAGCAGTTACTTGGAGACAGTTATAGAGCCGACAGCTAAACAGGATGCGGCAGTGTGTTGGGTCAGACGGGACGATGGGGTTCGACTCCAAGGTGACGCCACAAACAAACCTTTAGCTCGACTTTCTTTGTCTGTTTGAAGCTTTTGTTTGAGGGAAGAGCTTCTGGAGGAGGACTTTAGTTTTTCAAATTCTAGCATTTCTTTTTTTTCTTTTTTTTTGTCTTCTTCCAAATTCCTGCCTGCTGCAGCTTCAAATCTTCTGCCTGCATCATTAATAATTCCCTCAAGTCTCCGAAGCCAGAAAAGCAGCAAAGTAAATGAACAAATCTTCAATCACGACGGAGCCACTGGAGAGCTCAATAATAACACGTTCATATACATACAGCTCTGTAATTTACGGGAACTGTGGAGCTCGTGAAATTAAATACGGGGGGACAGACCCTGGAACTATTAAACTGCCATGAACACCCGTTATTTCCTGCGGCTGCTAATTCATTACGAGCCGAGATGGTTGAGACAGACAAGGCGCCTCAGGAACGCCGCAATTGCGAAAACAAGAAAATAATTGTGCGAGTCACTCCGAGCTCGGTCCTTATCTGAGTCGGGAGGAAGAGAGTTTTTAAATGACGGGATCACACGCGGTTCCTGAGACGCACCTCCGTCTCCGTTTTAATCCCGCGTTGCATTGATGTGGCCAATTTGTGCTCCGTGTTCTTCGGCGTGTCGCGGTGCTATTTCTTTCTTTTTTTTTACAGAAGTGAAAATTGAGATTGTAGAACTCCAAAGAGAGACAGAGAGGACCGTCTGTTACACTTGGAAAAGAAAAAAAAAGAAAAACAAGCCTTTTTTCTTTTGATATCACCAACTTTTACTTCTTTTTTTTTTTTACGTGCTTTGTGGCGCCGAACACGCAGAGGTGTAACAATGCATCCGTGAATTACCTGTCTCCTCCGGAAACTTGTGGCGTGTTTAACCGCAACTTTGGTGACAAAGCGGTGTGAAGCAGAGGCCAGCAGACAAGCTCCATTGATGCCGAGGCAGGCCGATGATGACACGGGCGCCATGCGACGGAGACGAGGATGAGTGGGAGAGGAGAGCGGCGGAGAAATAGAGTGATTAGGTGTGGGGAGGAGTATTCATTTAGGAAGACAAACAGCTTCATTTAAAGTTAGCCAAGCACAGAGACACCCTCTCCCACTACAAATGGGTTGAAATTTGCATCTTTCTCACCGACTGGGGGGGGATCCGAAGCCTCGCTCGGTCTCACGTCTCGAGTGATAATAGATTATCTACGGCCTCGCCTGAAGAGCTACTGTCTTTGATTTGCTTTTGAACACATTTGCTGTCTGCTTGTGCTGAAGTAATTCCTCTTCGCTCTTGATCCGCCGCCGCCGATATTGTCACAGCCCTACTTATCTACAGTATATAAGGGCTGTTTGCTGTTTTGTTTTGTTCCTCGACTGCATACAGAGGAGCGGAGCGGGCGCAGAGATTGCAGTAATTTCACGATTATTAAACAGCAGAAATGCCAAGCTCGCCGCCATTACGTTTGATTTCTCACCATCTCTCGCAAATCGCAGTCTTTTCTGACGGTTTTAACAGCAGAGAATGAAATTAAAGTTTTCAGCTTAGATGGCGGTGATTATCTGCTTAAACACTCTCAGCGGTTATAGATCCTCCGCCATAAAGGAACAGGAAGTGTTTAAGCTGCAGGTGAACTGAAGGCGATGCGGATCTGCCGTCCATCATCCGTCTCTCCTGCGTCCTCCGTTCTGACTGAAAATCTTTATTTGCTGCACCCATGTGGTATTCTTAGAGGTATATTTACTCACGTCTGTTCTGGTGCAGTGAGAGCGTTTCAGCTCTGGTTCTGACCCCGGCGCATGTGGGTTGGTGGGAGCAGCCTCGTGAGCCCGTGTGGACGCTCCGGTGTCTTCATGAAGCTGCTGCCATCTTCCTCGACATCCAGCTCCTACACATGCCTTTAAGGTTTCACTATATTTGACATACAGTACAGACGCGCATTTACACAAATAGTAAATATTTACCGCTTGGATAGTTGCCTCCATCACCCTGCCAGAGGGATTTAGCTGCCTGGGCAACATTTTATGTTGCTTCTGTTCGAGAGTTGAATAAAAAGCCTCGGGATGGCGGAGGGGAATTTTTCATTTCAGATATTTTCAGGGGTATTTGATATTTCTGTTATTTAGCCTTGGGAATTTTCCAAGGTAAGCAGTTGTTGAGCATGTACAGAAAGAGGATTTGCGGGATAAATCTAATGCAGCGGCTGTTTACAGCGGCGCTGTATGCATACAATATGTAAATGAAACGCCTTATTCCAAGTTTCCACCGGCTCTCCTTGGGAGGAAGTGTGAAAAGGTTTTTGTGTAGCGCTCAGGGTTCCTCAGTGCATCCGGATGACCGTTTGCTAAATATATCTCCTCCCAAACGTGCACCGACCTTGTGCAGCTACAGATTAGTGTAATTAGGAGTGGCGGCCTGTCAGGCTTCAGATTTTTTACGTGCTGAATCGTGAGCACGGGGCTGCAGAATGAGCGACGCTCAGGATGTACAGACGTGGAGGACGGTGTGTTGTTTTTCTAACTTAGACTTTCTCAAGCCAAAAACACAAAGTTGAACTTGTGAGGAATGGTTTCCTCTGACTTAAGCTGCATTTCTGATCGGCTAAAACAACCACATTTTAATTCCACGGCCAAAGAAAATCATAACTAATTTAATTATATTAGTTAGTGGGGTAATAACTGTATTTATTGACTCACCTGTGGAGGCCAATCCTGGAAGTTATCAGACTGTAGGGTGAGGACGTCTTCCCCTGATGTTTATTTCATTCAGGGAAATGTTGACAGCCTCATAGAGATGGATGTTTATCAGTGTTATTGCTCCTTAAAGGTGCCGAAACTAAGCAGTCATAGAGGGTTTTAATGCTTTTTTTCCTCAGTAGCTCCACATAGCAGTCCAAATATTCTGCAGGACCATCAGCTGAGGACGCTGATTGTTTGCTCGGGACAAACAGTTTTAATTGCATATAGCAATTAAATGCATAATTGAGATTTGTTTAGCAAAACTGGCATCTTAAAGCAAAAAATCTAAAATATAGCATCCTGTCTGATGTAGCTGCAGCTGGTGGGATAGCCGGTTAGCCATGATAGCAAACAAACAAAAGCAGGACGTCCCCTAAATGGGATGCAGCCGGATTTAATGCACTTAATGCTGCGACCAGTCCTGCCCTTCGTCTTACATGCAAGCAGAGAAGGCAAGAAAGAGGCGTTTAACAAAAAAAAAAAAAACATCCTCGACTGCATCAGTTAAACACGACGTATGTCACAGCTTACCACTGCGTTTTATGACCTTCACGATAACTGACAGCGTACATTGAGTTTTAATTCAACTCTCAGCAAAACACGATGTGACGAGAATGTACAGATGTCTTATTTCTAAGTTTGTTGCGTATTGGGAGAGGCGTGACGGACGAAAGGGTGATAAACACATAAAGAGCGACATAAATCGTGATTGACTGACAGATAATAAATACGTCTGTAGACTGGGTTTGTATATTCCAGCTGTGTTTCTGTTATAAAGCTCGTCCTCGCTCACAGCTCCAAGCCTCTCCTCTGCTGGAGAACACATTTCAGGAATCGAGACAACCTTCAAGATGGCGCGCTGAGATCGATTTCCGGGTCACGGGCGGGAGGATGAAGGACAGGCGAGATAAGGAGGCTCAAAATAGAAGAAATGGTCCGAGCTGGCTGGAAACAAGAAGCCGCTGTTCGTCCGTGTCTTTCTCTTGAGTGGTGGATGTGTTGTAGCAGCGATAGAAGCCTTATTTTATCCACATCAGGGTAAAATGATCAAACCTGCCTGTTAGGAAGCCGGGATGCATTTACCTCATCAAATTCATGCGTCCTTGTTATTCCTCTTCTTGTTTATTTTTTTTTAATGTTTGCCTTAAAAACTTGACTTTCACCTAATCAGCATTTCACGGCGGGAACATTTCCTGCTCGGCGTGTGCTGCTTTCTGCAGCGGCACCGTAAAAAGCCAGACCGGATTTCATTCCTGCATCACTTGACATTTATTGCACATATATCTGGACTTGTTTTTCTCCCCCGTCTGCCCTAAATTGTCTGCAAATATATATATATTTTTTACCTTGAAAAGGTGGAGGAGACCCATTTTCCAATTACAGATCTTGTCTTTAGGTGTTAATTGCTGACTGACCTCTGGAGCTGTTATTGGATGCCATGTGGGTTTTTTAATAACCTCTAATCGCAGTGAAACAGAGAGCCATAATAGAGAAGAGCCAAGCCGCTTTTTAACCCAGCATCCTTCAATAACGTGTAATCTCATCCAAACACAGAAGCCGGCCGAATGCCAAGTCAAAACGCTCTTTTGCAGAACACGAGACGCTGTGATTCATGCTCCTCCAACACCAAAATGACACATGCTTTTGTATCGGTTGGGTTAAATTAGGTCAGCTGAGCCGCATTGATCTTATTAAGTTTAGTGGCATTTCGTTGTTGAGCGGGAGGAAAAAAAAAAAAAGCACGAGGTCTTGATTTGCTCTCGGATTTCAGCTGAAAGCGTTTTTAATTTGGCACAATGAGAAACGCCGAACAGAGAATTTACTTCAGAATAATCACGAGTGCATCATGTTTTACTGCAGCCGCCTTGCATTATTGCTCCGTTCACATCTGGCCACGTCGTTCCGTTTCACATTCTCCACATGTTGATGAGCATCCGGGCCTGGAACCGAGCACGAGGGGATCCATTAACACGTCTGTCCTTTCCTTATCTTGATATGTGGATGTTGTTCTTTCCCAGGCAACCCGCCGGCCACAGGTACGGGCACGCTGATCATCTACCTGGAGGACTACAACGACAACGCCCCCTACGTGGTGCCGTCGGTAGCGCGGGTGTGCGAGGACGCCCACGACATGAACGTGGCCATCGTCGGAGGCTGGGACAAGGACCTGGCGCCCAACGCTGCACCCTTCAAGATAGAGCTGGGAAAACAGCCCGGCCTAGACAAAACATGGAAGGTCACCAGGGTCAACTGTGAGTATCTCATCTTGAAGTGATGTTTGAACGCTCTTGAACCGCTGAAAAGCATCAGCACTCGGTGGCAATCGATACGTCTTTCATACATCAAGAGGCAGAGGTGTCCATTTGCTCTCCAACAATAACCTCCTCGACCACAACGCTGAGCACCGAGCAGCGTGTGAGTCACTCTCGCTTCCCCGTTGTTGTGTTTCTTTTTTTTTCCACCCAGAGCTTTAAGACTGCTCTCACTGAGTTGCCAGAAAGCACCCCAGGGAGCTCAGGAGTGAAAAAATAAATGAAGAAAAAAAAGGGCGAGGAGAGAAAACTGCCAAAGCGCTGACGTCACTTCCAATCCGAGCATATTCAAGGGTCAATTCATCAGAGTGCAATTTTATAACCTGCCACGCTTTGCTGATGCGACGCCGCGCGAAAATATAGAGCAGAGCTGTCTCAGCCGCTCGTATAGATCGCATGATGAGGATGAGGAGAAAAACGCTGCAATCGGGGAGAAGCGTGCAGCAGCAGGAGGAAGAGGAGGACGGACAGACAACCAAGACATCGAATCAGGGCTCCATGACCGACAGCGCTGTCTGTGTGTGTTTGAGTGACAGTCCAGAGCTAAAACCTGCCCAGAGGTATTAGCTGTGACTGACAGCAGGAGAGGGAGGTACAGACACTCCTCAATCACCACCGCTGGAAGAGACAGATAGGGCCGGCAGAGAAAGAGCTGGCTCCCAGTGAAATGGACTGGCGCTGTGCTCGTCTCAGATGTGTGTGTGGAGGTGCAGCTCTGAATCCAGAAATCAGAGAAGGAATCTGGGTGTCCTGACTGTGGCTACTTCCAGATGTAATTACAATTAAAAGCACGGGGGAATGTCAAGGCCCTCCATCCCTCCTTTGGTGTTTTATTTCTCTTCTATTCTGGAGCAGCAGAACACAGGAGTCCCCTCCATAGTACAGCAGTAGTATGGTTATGTAACAAGATGAGCAGTTTTAATTGTTTTTTTTCTCTCTGCTTTGCGTTCAGATGCCAAGAGAAGGTTTTTTTTTTTTTGCTTCTGTGTTGATATTTTTAAATGCATTGGATATTGTGATGTTGTGAGTGCTGGCTGTTCGTACTCTTAAGGCCACAGCAGACTGATATGATGTGCCGGTGTGCTTCACTAACCTTCCAAAAGCTCAAGGCCGCATAAAGCTGACAAATTGTAGAATTAAATCTGTAGTAAATGGGTTGACGCAACATGTGCATTGAAAAGTTAACCAAAAAAAAGCACTAAAAGTTGCATAAAGTCTCTCCAGGTAGCAGGATTCACATCCACAGACCAACGAGAGGTTCGTTTCCTCTCTGGCGAGCCTCGACGTTCCCCGTCTTTGTCATAGAAGCTGCAGGAGAACGTTGGGAGCTGTTTAAAGTCCTGAACGGCCTCAGCAGTGAGAACACACAGCTGCAGTGAGCCCAGAGGGGCAAACACACAGCATGTCAGTCACCACCTGCACCGCTCCGAGCCACGCTTTGTCACACTGCACTGAAGTTTTAACACTATTTAAGGTGGAGAAAAAGCTGAAATGGCCCAAAGCTTGATCAGGTGTTGCAAGATAAAAATCTAAAACACTGACTTAGATGAGCCTGTTAAACATTATGTAGACGGGTTGTGTTGACGTAATGAAACTGGTGATTGCATCAACTTAATATTATTTGTCACTTAAACTTAAATTTCTGCAAACAAAGTTCAAGTTCAGGGAATAAAATTGGCTTGATAGCTTAGAAGTTTGCATCCCTTTCCTGTCTGAACACGCCTGGACTATTTTAGACAGTGACGTAATTATAACTCAAAGAGACTGATGTGGATTCACGTGTTTTTTTGTTTGTTTGTTTTCTTCCTGTGGTGTATGCTTCCATGTAAATTAGTGGCAGATAATTTGGTGGTTAGCATCGTCGCCTCATAGCTAGAAGGTCGCCGGTTCACGTCCCGGTGAGAACACCCGGGATCTTTCTACGTGGAGTCTCCATGTTCTCCCCGTGCAGCGTGGGTTCTCTCCGGGTTCTCCGGCTTCCTCCCACAGTCCAGAAACATGCTGAGGTTAATTGGTGATTCTAAATTGTCCGTAGGTGTGAATGTGAGTGTGCTTGGTTGTCTGTCTCTAAGTGTAGCCCTGTGATAGACTGGTTACCTGTCCAGGTGAACCTGCCTTCACCCTGAGTCAGCTGGGATAGACTCCAGCCCCCCATGACCCTGGTGAGGATTAAGGTGTAGAGATGATGGATGGATGATTTGGTATCGAAGGTGGAAAAGTTGCGAGCTTTTGTCATGACCTCGATTTGCATCAGATCTTCCAAAAAAAACACCAACAGGAACTATCCGGGTTTGTAGGTCAGCGCCGACATGTAGAAAGTCGGGGGCATAAATCAGAGCCGAGGTGAACTCAGAGGTTTCTCACATTCCTGATCCGAGTGAAGTATAAGATGAGGTTCGCCCACTTTACACTTTGCTCTCAGTGGAAGCATTCCAACTCCGCCGACTTCATTTATGGAAAAGATGAACGAGACTTCATAACGCTCGGCAAAACAATCCCCTCCCTCCTCGCGGCGCCGTGGTCCTCGCAGACGCCAGATGTCAACCTGAATAACAGCTAGAAGAGATTTAAATGTTACACCATCACAAAATACAGAAACATCTGCTGGAACAACAGATTTCATGCAGATTCGTGGCTCCGAAACGCTTCAGTTTGTCACCAGTCTGAATGTATTCTCACCTTGGATTTTTATCTGCGCCACGTCCACGCTATTAGCTGCTGTCCTGTTTTATTTGTTTAAACCAGCATCCAAGTGATCGTGTGGAACCAGATCTGAGCGCTGACAACCGGCCGTTTGTTCACTTGCCACACGCTGAGGAGAAACTTTTTAGGGAAAATCTGCGCCTCATGCGGCAATCTGGCGTTTTCAGAACACACAGACGAGCCTGAGCGCCGGCGATAAACGGCGCGCAGAAGGAACTCGGTGTTTGTCACATGTTTGCTGTTCCTGTTTAGCGTCGCCTCCTGACATTGTTTTGAGCGCGATGCGAGACAGTGTCGTTTTTCTAATTAAACACAAAGCTTAAAGTTTCCTAACCTGGGAGGAACAGCCCTGGCAGGAAAACAGCCACAATGTGCAGCTTTGCATGTTGTGACACGTTTCAGCATGAAGTGAACCGGCTCCCCCTGTTTTCTCTTGTGTCTCTTAAGGAATTTTAAAGTGTGATGCAACCAAATGTAACAACCTTACGCAACTTAAGTGGTGCCAATTTTTGTCGCTTCAGTTGTCAGGAATGGCTCGGCAGCCAGTTTCTCCAGGCGCACAACTTCTGAGTTGTAATACACACATTTAGTTCTGCCTTTGCAAAGTAGGTGGCTGTTAATGCAGAATAAATGGACAATGCATGCAGGACAGGCAATTACCAGTCATCCAATCCATTTAAACCCTCCCTCCCCTCCCCCTCTGTGTCTCCTCCACAGCCACACACTCTCAAATCATGCTTCTGCACAGTCTGAAGAAAGCCAACTACCAGCTCCCGCTGCTCATCACCGACTCAGGCGTGCCCCCTTTGTCCAACAACACAGAGGTGAAAGTTCAGGTGTGCATCTGCAAGAAGAACAAGATGCACTGCAGCTCGGCCCACTCCCACCGCGACAGCCTCCTGGTGCTGCTCGCGACGCTCCTGCTTGTCCTACTCTGTAAGTAACGCCGCACGTCAGCACGGAGCTCCAGGTGAGGTTGATGTTTTCAGGTGGAACGAGTCACACGTTGAGGAGAGTTTCATGGAAAAGCAAAGCAACTGATTGGTCTCAGGGAACAGTAGAAACTCACACGGAGGTTCCTTTGTACAGATTGTCTGAGATGTTTTACCCTTGAATGAGACAAACACACTGTCGGATTGTCCGCAATCAATGTTCACAAATATGGAGATGAAATAATTGCAATGGGAAATTCCTCAACACGTTGGAGACCTCACTTCTCTCTCCTCCAAGGAAGAAGTGAAAATCTGACAGCTTTTATAGTGATCACAAACTCTTTTTCTATTGTTGTAAGTAGTTTAAACCTTGTTGCATCTTTCCAAACACAAAAACGTTTTAGGGGTGTAAACACATCCTCTCTGGTCGACTCTTACACCTTTTGAGGAAACTCCTCCATCGTTACGCTGCAGGAAAGTGACCGTTCCCAACTACATGAACATAAATCGAACAACTAGATAATAAATGATAACCTAAAAGCTCGTGATTGATTTTACTTTGACAAGCTACCCCGTTAGCATCCTTCTGTTAGCATCGTCTGCATGACAAGCCTCCATCCCATCCTGCAAAA